CGGAGACAGGAAAATAGATAGTAGCATTTTCTATCAGCTGTGGCTCCGGCGACTTCCCCAAAATATTCAGCAGATCCTTGCATTCGGAGATGCTGATGTCGACATAGATCATATAGCAGAGATAGCCGATAGGATTCAGGAAAGATCCAGAATACCGAGCCCACAAATACAACACACCTCGGCTAATTCCGAAATCGAAGAGTTACGAAAGGAGATTAACAATTTATCTCAAAAGCTTTCCGGGCTGTATCCGAACGAGAGACTGAAAAGACGATCGCGAAGCAGGTCACGTGATAAATATCGATCACGCTCACGGAGACGCACAGGACCTACAATATGCTGGTATCACCAGACTTATGGCAACCAAGCCAGAAAGTGTAGACTGCCATGCACATTTAAAGCTAATACAATAGGGAAACGATCCCGTCGATCGTCGGTAACTGCTGCAACAACTGATGTAGCTCCCAAAAACAGTCGTCTATTTTACGTCCAGGACAAGACAACTGGTGCTCAATTCTTAGTCGACACAGGAGCAGAAATAAGTGTTGTGCCGCCCGTTAGTAATGAACGACGAAATGTTAATACGGCGCTTACTTTGAAAGCAGCAAACAAATCCGACATAAAAACATACGGAAAGCGGAAAATAACTTTAGATTTCGGCCGAAACATTTCACTTCGATGGGAATTTGTGATAGCAGACGTATCCGTACCTATAATCGGTATTGATTTCCTGAAGAATCTCGACTTATTAGTAGATTCGCGACGAAACCAGCTCTTGAACACAAACCGTACGGTAGTGATAAGGGGAATAATCACTGATCATGAATCTATGAATTTAGTAGTGTCAGGAGACAAAAACGATCCATATAAATCGCTACTAAACGAATACGCTGACCTGACGAAAGTATCTTACGATAATACCGATCTCAAACATACGGTGCAACATTATATTGCAACGAAAGGTGCACCTTGTAACGCGAGACCACGACGCCTGGACCCGAAAAGGTTAAACGTTGCGAAACAAGAATTTGACAAAATGATGAAACTTGGCATAATACGGCCATCTAGTAGCCCATGGGCATCTCCGTTACACATGGTACTAAAAAAGAACGGAGAGTACAGACCATGTGGAGATTACCGAGCACTCAATAAACAAACTGTGGCAGATAGATATCCAGTGCCACATATCCACGACATGACTAACAATATGGAAGGCGCCACTATCTTTTCGAAAATTGACCTCGTTAGGGCTTATTACCATATTCCCGTGGCGCATGAGGATATACCGAAAACGGCTGTAATCACTCCATTCGGATTATTCGAATTTTTGCGAATGCCGTTCGGATTAACTAATGCCGCTCAAACCTTCCAGAGATTCATCGACCAGGTTGTTAGAGGTTTGTCAGGCGTATATGTGTACATCGACGATATACTTGTAGCTAGTGCTACACCGGAACAACATCTACAACAACTAAGACAGTTGTTCAATAAACTTCAAGAACACGGTATTGCCATCAACGTTAAGAAATGTGAATTTGGTAAGAAATCACTGCAATTTCTAGGACACATAATAAATTCTCAAGGTATCACACCAGTCCCATCAGAAGTTGCAGCTATTCGTGACTATCCGTTGCCCGAAACAAAGAAGAAATTACGACGATTTCTCGGACTAATTAACTACTATAGACGATTCATTCCGAACTGCGCGGCAATATTGCAACCGTTAACAGACGCTTTGCGTGGACGTGCCCGAACATTTCACTTGTCACCAGACGCCATAGAGGCATTCGAGAACGCTAAACGCGTGCTAAATGAAAAGACAATATTGGTACGACGAAAAAACGAAGCTCCATTAGCCGTCATGACTGACGCGTCGAACATCGCTGTCGAAGCCGTGTTACAGCAGTTCGTAAACGACACATGGGAACCGATTTCATTCTTTTCTAAAAGATTAAGTCCCACGCAAACGAGATACAGCACGTTCGGAAGAGAACTGCTTGCAATTTATTTGACAATAAAGCACTTTCGACATATGCTTGAGGGTACCATTTTCACAGTGTACACAGATCATAAACCCCTCACGAAAGCATTAAACGCCAAGCACGACAACTATTCGCCGAGGGAAATTCGACAATTGGATTTTATTTCCCAATTTACTTCTGACATACAATATATTAAAGGCCATGCTAACGAAGTAGCAGATGCATTATCAAGAACGATGATTAACGCTCTCATCCAAACCGACATTGATTATCATAAACTAGCAGCGTTGCAAAATATGGATGTAGAGCTAAATAGACTAAGATCATCCAATACAACTTCTTTAGTATTCCGAGAAACTCCGTTCGGCAAAGTGAACATAATCTGTGATATTTCTACAGGCAGACCACGACCGTTTATTCCGAAGCCGTTTAGACGAAAAGTTTTCGAAACTATGCATAATATATCACATCCTGGAATTAAGGCAACGATCAGTCTGATCAGCGACCGTTTCGTATGGCCAAATATGAACCGAGATGTTCGCAACTAGACACAGGCATGTATTAAATGCCAGAAAGTTAAAGTTCATCGTCACACAAGTTCCGCAGTAGGTCCATTCCGTCACCCAGACAGCCGATTCGAGCACATACATATCGATATTGTGGGACCACTGCCGATTTCAAATGGCTTCAGTTATATTTTTACCTGCATAGACAGATTCACGCGATGGCCTGTAGCGGTGCCCATAAAAGATATTTCAGCAGAGACAATAGCCAAAACCTTAGTCGAACATTGGATCTCATATTATGGAGTCCCTGCTCATATCACAACCGATAGAGGAGCCCAATTTGAAAGTCGCCTCTTTCAACAACTCACAGAGCTCCTCGGCATTAAACGTATACGCACAACCTCCTACCACCCGATGGCAAATGGTATGGTAGAGAGATTACATCGACAACTAAAAGCATCTCTTACAGCTGTTATTAACAACAATGACTGGGCCAACAAGCTTCCATTAGTCATGTTGAGTTTAAGATCGACGGTTAAAAGAGACATAGGATGTTGCCCTGCAGAGTTAGTTTACGGAACTACCCTACGTCTACCAGGAGAGTTGTTCATCTCAGGTAAGATTGTTCCAACTGATATAACTAACTACGTAAGTCATCTAAAAGACCACATGAGCGATCTAAGAATAACGCTTCCGCAGGAGAATCAACATCAAGTATATATTCCGAAGCAACTAAGCGATACCACCCACGTATTTATCAGGAGAGATTTTGTGCGACGTCCCTTACAACCGACCTACGATGGTCCTTTTAAAGTTATCGACAGAAACGATAAAACTATCACCGTAGATAAAGCTGGAAAAACGGATGTAGTTAGCATCGACAGAGTCAAACCAGCTTTCGTCGAAGGCGAAGAACAGCCAATAAACGCAAACCCATCGAAAGCCATTGAATCACCGAAATGCGAGCTTAAACCCTCTGAAGCAGCAACACAGAAACCAGAAGGAAGCCCACCAACGACCAAATATGGACGAAGAGTCAGGTGGCCGCAAAGATATATAGCTACAATTTTGAACTGATAATTCTTCTCACCATTTCGAACACATTTTTTTTTGCTTCGCATCTGTACGTCGAAAATTCTAATTTATCTATTATTGCCTTCGATACATTTAGTGTATTTCGAAATTGAGATGTAACCTAAAAACATTGCTATACTTTTGTTTGATCTTCTATTCCTTTGCGACCTCACGAACGTATGCGAATAGAGTAACTTTAACTGCCAAAACTTTTGATGCTTTCCGACAATTTTGATTTTTTTTTCTCGCAAACAAAGACATTTTCGTAACCTTGTTTGCTGGAAGGGGGCTATTGTAGTGCCTCCACATATATTTCACTTCTCTCACATCTAACTTGGTTAAGCCCTTTCGATTAATTTATTTAACCAAGCCATTCGCCTAGCAACAACTTGTATGTACCATTGGTATTTTTTATTATCTGGTTTGTATGAGCTAGTATGACTGAGCATTGCTTAACCCCTACGCGCATATACATCCTATTCGCTTTAATATTAATCTCTTAAATACCACGATGACTCAGACATTTTCCTTTGTATACATACGAACATTTTAATCTTATTAATTCATTCGCCCCATTCGCATATTCGCTCGCTAGTGTGTCTGCCCGGTCTGTCTGTGGTCTGCTGTTATTAATTGTGGTGTGCTACAATAAACGTATACGATACTTGGAATTCATCTTCTGATTTATTAACCGTCAGACGTCATTTGGATAAGGTCGTCTGAACGAGCTTATTACGAAACGTAAGAACACGCATTAAGCCGGCACACTACACATACGCTGATGAAGGACGAGTATGTGACCGTAACGATGTAAAACTTTTTGATGCGTATCCTAGTAAGAAGCCGGTTGGTGTAACAGATAAGATGGCTTTTCTAAGTATGGAAAAGAAAGAAAAAAGTGAAAAGTGTAGGCATCAAGATGGATCCGAAGTGTGTGATGATAAAAGCCTCTTAGCTACTAGAAAAGCCTGGAACGGTTATTTGGATTCGAGTAAACAGAGGTTAATGAATTCAGTAAATATGAATAAGGCCCAGGCAGGATTGTCTGGACGGAATAAAGCCTATTTTCGGAACACTTCAGTTAGGGTAAATTATATAACTGGACCTAGAGTAGATTCTAGGATAAGTGATGGCGGTACTGTAAGGGCTAAGAAGCCTAGGAAAAAAAATGATGCTACTATTATTAAGAAGCCTAAACCTCCTTCTCTTTCGGATGCTATGACTAGCAATGGAAATAGTAGCCATCAGAACCTTAGTAGTGACAGCGATAATAAGGAGACAGAAAGTATCAACAGTCCACTTATAGTGACTAGTCTATCAACTTCATCGAATGAGCCATATTAAAGATCAAATTTAAACAACATATATACAGATCAGAAGCAAACACAAAAACTTCAATATAAGTACAAAATATAGAAAGAATAACAATATACAATGATAAAATCTCAAATTGGAATCAAATAAAATACCAAAAATGTCAACAGAAAAAGTCCGTCATGTCATAACAAAGGTATGTAAACATGGAGGGATTTTCCAAAACACAAAACATTCAAAAAGGATTCTACACCGGCCCGCAAAATCCCTCCATGCAAAAAGCAAGCGTTAATGACACTTCTATTTACGGTTCCCAGTTATCCCCTAATCCACACCGGAAGAACGTGTAGGACTTACAGCAGTACGCCTACCCGCCATCCAACATGGATATGACCTATCGTGCTAACTAGGTACCTATACTTTCCCATCAGGCCCTTGATTCCCCTATCTATCGTGGCATCACCTAACGGTAGTATAAACCTTACCCAATTAACCCACACGAACATGTACAACACGTCGTAAAACTGGTCATATCCTATCCGGGAACTACATTCCCTATCATGGGGACGAGTCGCTAATCCACCACCACTTGCTCCGATCAGCAGATACAATGAAGTCCGTGATGCTAACTTATCAACAGGAATTCTTGACTCATAGATAATATGCAAGGGTGGGATCTCCAATTTTGACATTTCATCGTCTCCAGAAGACTTTAAGTAGCATGACGTGGGATCAATATTTATCTCTCCATCTCCTGATACAGAGGAGGTTTGATCAGCATTCGTCATCGTCGGTAACTCATTTGTCACATCAGTGACATCCAGATTATTATCAACGTCATCATGATTCCGTTCTGCCAGACAAGTCGCGTCGATTCGGTCTGCATTAGCATCCGTAGAGTGGAACTCTTCCATTGCTGTATAACTCATATCACTACATGAAAGAAAAGCATTAGTATCGCAATTCGAAACTGATATACTCACTTGTTGTTCTTCATGTTCTGTTTCAGAGACACAAGATATATGCTCATCAATAGCATCGTCATCACACGACACTGTAGACTGGCTGTTACCATCAAACACTTTCTTCTCATCATCCCTCGACTGACAGTCAACCGGAATAGGAACAGTTACAGTTGCACAACCTTGTGCATCTTCAATCAACTTAACATTCATGACGAGGTCCAATGAAAATTGAAATTGTTTTGCTGAGTCGAAATTATACTTGTTCGCTTCGCTATATTAGTTTACGTGACACCCATAAAAAGGCTATGTATTGTGTTCGACCATATTAGAGAAGCATCCTCAAAATGGATAGACAGGTAAGACACCACTACCATCAAGGTGTATGTTTTGTGAAATATAACGCTGTAGATATAATTTTTGAGCCCGATAAGCCTTCCCTTGTCGAGGTGTCTGCTGCACTTGACAATCCCTTGAGGGATTGTTTTTAAACCGTAAAGTGCTCCATTGTTGATTGTCCTGATTTGACTTGTCCTCGCTGACTCTCTTCCATTTACGGGAAACAATCCACTTTCGGGATACTTTATCACCCCCGAAGCTATAAAAAGTTGTCTCGATTCATTGGCTGACAATCTGAAAACATTTTCGGTCAAATGGAACCATTCCAAGTCAGAACTATTGCGCGGTAGGTCTAGCTACCTCATTCAATTGCTCTTTTTCTAGTTGCTTCGGCAGCATACATACATCCACTCACTCAAAAACACAGCACTTTTGGACAAGTTACTGGATACACGCAAAGTTACTTACTAACACGGTCAAAAGTAAAGTTGCAGTTTCGGAGTACCTGGAGGCTCTATTTGTTGTAGTTTTATTATATACTACGAAGTTTCTTTACCAAATCCCTTTTGTTGTTTATCTCATATTTTAATTATTTCGGTCTTCACCACCTAATCTCCCTGGTATCATGTTGAGTAATAAGGTCGCTAGTACACATTATACTAAAACAACCAGGAAAACTTGTAGAGGCATAAACCCAGGGGTTGATAGTGCGTCGAAAATCCCATTATCGTGCGAGCGGGTTGTTAAAAAACCCAAACAGTCAGTCGATAGTACGCCTCTCAGTGTCCATACTTTAGATCACTCAACGCAAACACCACAGAGGAAGCTAGACACCACTCCTATTCCTAAAAAGACCGGTAAGCTCGTTAAGAATAGGAGAAAAAGACGCTCCAAGGCTCGGTCGATACAGTCCAAATGGCCTAAACGAGAAACCAGGCGAGGAACATTGTCAACAACAAACGACACAGGAAATATATTTTTCTATTAGACAGAAGAAAACTTCAATCTTCATTTTCAATTTTCTTCATTGGTGGACTGTCAGCAGAATGCTGTATGAGGAGATTTGGAAAGTTGGCAGTTGGTTGTGAGTTCGTATGTCTCGGCATTTGAATGAAAGCGTTCGTTACAGGGCAGTAGGTTTTCTGGATACCAGCAGCCGTTGCATTACCAGACCGGAGATCAGTTAGCTGCAATGTGGAGAGTAATAAGAATAATTAGGATAGAATTATAATGCTAATATGAATAAAATTTCAGAACTGAGTAATATGTAGATGAATTTAGTTTCTTAATTGGTAGTGAAAAGGCATTTTTTCACTACTTTTTCACTACCAATTAAGAAACTAAATTCATCTACATATTACTCAGTTCTGAAATTTTATTCATATTAGCATTATAATTCTATCCTAATTATTCTTATTACTCTCCACATTGCAGCTAACTGATCTCCGGTCTGGTAATGCAACGGCTGCTGGTATCCAGAAAACCTACTGCCCTGTGACGAACGCTTTCATTCAAATGCCGAGACATACGAACTCACAACCAACTGCCAACTTTCCAAATCTCCTCATACAGCATTCTGCTGACAGTCCACCAATGAAGAAAATTGAAAATGAAGATTGAAGTTTTCTTCTGTCTAATAGAAAAATATATTTCCTGTGTCGTTTGTTGTTGACAATGTTCCTCGCCTGGTTTCTCGTTTAGGCCATTTGGACTGTATCGACCGAGCCTTGGAGCGTCTTTTTCTCCTATTCTTAACGAGCTTACCGGTCTTTTTAGGAATAGGAGTGGTGTCTAGCTTCCTCTGTGGTGTTTGCGTTGAGTGATCTAAAGTATGGACACTGAGAGGCGTACTATCGACTGACTGTTTGGGTTTTTTAACAACCCGCTCGCACGATAATGGGATTTTCGACGCACTATCAACCCCTGGGTTTATGCCTCTACAAGTTTTCCTGGTTGTTTTAGTATAATGTGTACTAGCGACCTTATTACTCAACATGATACCAGGGAGATTAGGTGGTGAAGACCGAAATAATTAAAATATGAGATAAACAACAAAAGGGATTTGGTAAAGAAACTTCGTAGTATATAATAAAACTACAACAAATAGAGCCTCCAGGTACTCCGAAACTGCAACTTTACTTTTGACCGTGTTAGTAAGTAACTTTGCGTGTATCCAGTAACTTGTCCACAAGTGCTGTGTTTTTGAGTGAGTGGATGTATGTATGCTGCCGAAGCAACTAGAAAAAGAGCAATTGAATGAGGTAGCTAGACCTACCGCGCAATAGTTCTGACTTGGAATGGTTCCATTTGACCGAAAATGTTTTCAGATTGTCAGCCAATGAATCGAGACAACTTTTTATAGCTTCGGGGGTGATAAAGTATCCCGAAAGTGGATTGTTTCCCGTAAATGGAAGAGAGTCAGCGAGGACAAGTCAAATCAGGACAATCAACAATGGAGCACTTTACGGTTTAAAAACAATCCCTCAAGGGATTGTCAAGTGCAGCAGACACCTCGACAAGGGAAGGCTTATCGGGCTCAAAAATTATATCTACAGCGTTATATTTCACAAAACATACACCTTGATGGTAGTGGTGTCTTACCTGTCTATCCATTTTGAGGATGCTTCTCTAATATGGTCGAACACAATACATAGCCTTTTTATGGGTGTCACGTAAACTAATATAGCGAAGCGAACAAGTATAATTTTGACTCAGCAAAACAATTTCAATAACCAATATATTTCCCCGAAGTTCTCCAATACTTTGTGATTACTGTGATTACTGTCGGTCGATTCTTGTACATTTTATACGGATCTAGGTGTTTTATAAAGTTCGTTTGGTGGTGGATATCTATTAACTCGATCGCCCAATTCTTGTCAGTAGGCAGTTGTTTATGAAAATTAGAACAACACATATAAGCGAACAATATTGTTTTCGATTAGATCGTCATCAGGCCTTACTCTAATATACATGAATATTTATATGAGAACGTTAAGCCAATCAAGTTAAATTTCGTGATAATCACAATGAACTGAAGTAGATTGCGTCACTAAATATAATAGGCAAAAGTACAAGTGGATAGTAGGAAGGCAGGAGATTCACGCTCCTCACTGATCACAAGCCTATGCTAGCAATATTCCGTTCTGAGTCTGGCGTTCCAGCACATTCTGTAAGTCGTCTTCATCGACGAACCTAGTTGCTTTTGGGGTATGATTCGAAATCCAATATCGACGCACTCTACAATTTGGGTAGAAGCTGCTGATAGGATAACCAACTGTCCCCTTGGCCTTCCTCTTGGTTCCTTTTTGCCTTTGAGGGTTCCATGTGAGGGCGTGTCTAGTGACTGCAGGTGGGTCTTGTTTCGTTGTGTATGTCCTATTCCCTTTCCACCGCTTACTTCCGGCATTTCGTTGTTGCTGATGGTGTCTGGCCCACGCATACGAAGTATTTTGCGTAGACAACTGTTAATAAACACTTGTATTTTCTGGATGATGGCTTTGGTAGTTCTCCATGTTTCCGCTCCATACAGTAGAACTGTCTTGACATTTGTATTGAAGATCCTGATTTTGGTTTTGTTTGAAAGTTTGTTTGGAGTTCCAGATATTTTTCAACTGTAGAAATGCAGCCCTTGCTTTGCCAATCCGCGCCCTCACCTCTGCGTCCGATCCACCTTTCTCGTCGATGATGCTGCCAAGATATGTGAAGGTGTTAACGTCCTCCAAGGTATCTCCATCAAGCGTGATTCGGTTGGTGCATGTTGTGTTGCATCGGAGAATTTTGCTTTTTCCTTTATGTATGTTGAGACCTACTGCTGCAGAGGCTGCTGCTACACTGGTCGTCTTCTCTTGCATTTGTTGTTGAGTGTGCGATAGAAAGAGCCAGGTCATCTGCGAAGTCCAGATCGTCCAGCTGCGTCCTAACTGTCCAGTTGATACCGTGCTTCCCTCCAGATGTTGACGTCTTCATAATCCAGTCGATGACCAGGAGAAAGAGAAAGGGTGAGAGTAAGCAACCTTGCCTGACACCGGTCTTCACCTCAAAAGAGTCTGTCAGCTGACCTCCGTGTACGATTTTGCAGTTGAATCCATCATAAGAATTCCGTATGATGTTGACTATTTTCTCAGGCACCACCGTAGTGTCGAAGAAGCCTCCACAGTGTTTTCCTATCCACGCTATCGAAATGCTTTCTCGTAGTCGATGAAGTTGATGTTAGAGTGGTGAGTTCCATTCAATTGATTGTTCCACAATGATCCGTAATGTAGCAATTTGGTCAGTACACGATCGATCCTTACGAAATCCAGCCTGTTGATCTCGAAGTTGGGCGCCTACAGAATCCTTCATTCTGTTTAACAATACTCTGTTGAAGACTTTGCCTGGTAATGAAAGGAGAGTGATGCCTCTGTTGTTTTAACACTATTTGAGATCGCCTTGCTTTGGTATTTTGATGAGGTATCCTTCTTTCCAATCTGATGGTACTTGTTCCTCATCCCAAACTCTTCTTGAAGAGAATGTGAAATATTTTCGCAGTTGCTTCCACATCTGCTTTCATGGCCTCTGCTGGAATGTTGTCTGTCCCTTGCCTGCTTTGGGGCCGCTTTCTTGATTCGTGTCTGGATGGCTATACTGATCTCTCAATCGTAGGTGCGCCAATATTCATCTGGGAGGTCCGTGGATGCCTGCTTCGATGTTGGGTGGGTTCAGTGGAGCTGGTCGATTCAATAGTTCCTTAAAGTGCTCCACCCACCTATTTCGCTGTTCGTCAGTGTTGCTGATTATTTTCCCTTCCTTGCTTTTCACTGGTCGTTCTGGTTTACGATAGTTTCCGGCGAGCTTCTTTGTTGTTTCGTACAATTGTCTCATGTTTCCTTCTCTTGCAGCCTTTTCCGCCGTCATTGCTAGATCTTCCACATATTTTCGTTTGTCAGCTCTGATGCTCTTCTTCACTTCCCTGTTTGCTTCTGTATACTCGGCTTGCGCCTTAACTTTCTCTGCTCTT